TTTCCTTGATCATGTTAGACTCTTAAGACTTGGCATAGAGAGAAAAAGGTTACTAAGATCAGATGAGGACAAACCTGCAATTGTGTCGTTAGCGATTCTGATAGCATCCTCCTCGGTTTTGAATCGAATAAGGGGAGCTACGGGTCCGAAAATCTCTTCCCTAAGAAAAGCAATTAAGTTCTTCTCATCACAAAAATGCGAGGAACACTAGATGTTTCAAGCTCATTCTTTAGAGAAACAAAAAGCTATAACACTGGAATCATGTGAATCTTTCAGTACTTACTTGGACATGATCATGTTACTCGTAACATCGCGGATAATAGTAGGCTCATAGAAAGTCATTCCTAGACTGTGCCTTTTGCCGCCGAGAATGATTTTTGCTCCCTTTAAGAAAAAGACAACAATACAAAAGATATTCCTCTTGTTAGTGGAAGTACAAGAATTGTTTCTTGCTAAAATATAATATATGAACTGCCTCGCTTAGAAACCAAGCATAGCAAGGATGCATAACGGAAAATACAAACCTTGGAAACAGCATCTTGTATGAATGACTCGACCTGCAAATATTTAACATGAAGAGCAAAACTATTAACACTAATACCATCAATCTTATTGATGTGTCTGGAAAAAAAAAAGAAACTGGAGAGTATTATTAATGTACCTTTTGCACTGCTGCATCGTTTATAAGTGGACCCTATAAGAATGATGAGGCGACGAATAAATTTACAGCAAATAGCAGAGCACACAAGAGACTCAGTTAACCGTATATGAAGTCGATTGGGATGCTAGTTGACAGAACGTCGAAACTAGGTACCAATAGTATGATCTGCTTAGCCTAGATTATCATATTTTTTCAACCCCCAATCATCAAGGTATAACATCACAAAGCAGAAGCATAAGATCGAAAAGAAGACATACCTGGGTTATCCCATCCTTAAAGCCATCTCCTACTTCTAGTTTTTGAACCGCTTCAGAAAAGGCCTCAGCAAATTTATCATAGATACCTGTGGAAAAAAATATTAAGTTAATACTAGATGCAAGAGCCAGAAGGGTTGTGTCGAGTATCCTAATTCTTACCATCTTGCACAAGTACTCTATTCGCACAAACACATGTCTGACCACTATTCCGAAATTTTGCTGCAAGCTGCAATCACAGATCAAATGGGTAATACAACATTGGAAGGGTATTGACGATCCCCTCAGATAGGTAGAGCGTGGAAGTAAGTAACTATATAAGCAGGAAAAGAATATACACATCTTGTACTAAAAGAAACGGGATATTGTCACTTCAGAGTAATTTCAGATATGGATCAACGTTTTCGCATCTTTTGGAAAAAGCAATGCCTCAAAACTCATGACTATCACTTACTGTGCCTTTCACTGCTACATCCAGGTCTGCATCATCAAATACTATGGAGGGTGCGTTGCCGCCAAGTTCTAGAGAAACCTACACCAAGAGAAAAAGAAGAGGTACCGATGATGTTCAATCTGGAGAATATTTTCCAAACAACACCAAATTGTCGCGTAAGCATACCTTCTTGACAGTAGGTGCAGCAGCTGCCATCAACTTCTTCCCAACTGCTGTTGATCCTGTAAATGTGATTTTCCTTACCTGAGTAGCACGAGGAACAAAACAGTCAATTGATAAGGTTACTTATCATCAGTAGTGCTCATCATTAATCACAACTAAAGGCAGAGATACAAAAATAACATAAAATACACAAAGATGATTAGAGAAACCTGTGTACTCGCAAGCAGAGCATCCCCAATTTCAGGAGCATTCCCCATGATCACATTAAGTGCACCCTATTGAAAAGACATGCAAAGAATCACGAAATGTAAAGAAAAAAGAAAAAGATAAAGGACACACCCAAAGCAGCTTCAAAGACATGGTCTGCTCAGAAAGTTCATGAGCACATAAAAAACATTGTTAAAAACTAGCCTTCAAGCCACAATAGCCATACATCAATGGGTCAGACATCAAATTAGTAACCACAGACGACAATACAAGCGCTTGGAGATGGGCAGATTAAATCAGATCACATGTTATAACGGAAAGACTACTTGAGAATATCAAACCTTGATCAGACCAGAGACGCTGGTGGATTATATAGTTCAAGCCTAAATCATAAATTACCGGAGGAACTCCAGCTTGAAGTGCAAGTTCAGCCGCAGCAAGTGCTGTTAGGGGTGTAAGTTCAGATGGTTTAACAACAACCGTGCATCCAGAGGCAAGAGCAGGGCCAACCTGCAATACCGTCAATCATCCACATCAAAATTATGAAAGAAGTGCTTCATGATCTACTGGGATAGTAAACTAGACAGGGTATTTACAGTAAAAAGAAGGCAAATTGAAATGGTAAATTAAGCAAGACCTTCCGAGTAATCATGGCTAAGGGAAAGTTCCAAGGGGTAACTGCGCCGACAACACCAATTGGCTGCATAGAAAATCAAGAGAGTCAAGCAATGCAGGGGTAAAGTAAACACTATAAATACAGCCACATGACGTGAAAAAGGTACACGAGGAATCTCCACATATAAAAGGGGATTCACAAAGCAAGATTAAGGTTTTCCAAGTTCTCATATAGCATTGCAAAAGACTTAGAAATTTTCAAGCCCAGATAGCCTGGTAATTTATTTAACCATTATCTTTCCAATGACACACCTCCGAGTTAAGCTAAAGGAACAGAATTATGTCACTCAAAATTAAAAGCTTCATATATAGAATTTAGAAACACGAATCAGGATACTGGGCAAACCTGTTTTAAAACAAATAATCGGCGATCAGACAAATTGGGAGGAATAATATCGCCGTATATACGTTTTGCCTCCTCCGCATAGTACTCAATAAAACTTGCCCCATATGCAACCTGTAAACTAAATTACAGAATCATAAATTGCATTTAAGAAACGATTGCAACACTTGAGACAAGCCCAAACAGCACATTTTAATGTTCTCAAATACAAAACTGTATCATCTACCTCTCCTATTGCCTCTTTTAGTGGTTTTCCTTGCTCCAAAGTTATAATTTGTCCAAGTTCTTCCTTGTGTGCAACCAGGAGATCATACCTGTGTTTGGAAAAACGAAGTGGATCAGGACCCTTGGTTCCAGCAAAGTGCAATAGCTTCAAACAAGATACCAGAAAATCTCCTATCTCTGCCCATATCTCTAACCTCAACATTAATAAGGGAGCAGTCATTTTGTTTCCAAAAGCCTTGATACAATATTTTAATTTCATGGGCATTTCACATCCATGGAAAACATTCCTCCCCATCGGGATCTTAGACTGACCTTATAATCCTAAAACATACTCATGCACACTGCAAAAGTAAAAGAGTACACATTGCTACAGGATAAAAGTTTGTACCATCTCCGTAAGACTTTACTCCTCTCTCCAGCAGTCAATCTGCTCCAAGCTGAATGTGATAAAATGTAAGAGCATTACAGGAAATAAGTTTTTATCCTTCCCCAGCACATTGTTCAGTGTGAATAGAAGTGACCATCAAACATTGAGCAGAACAGTTTAGAAGTATTATAATTGAGAATTGCTCCAAGGAAAAAAAGCTCAAGTAACTAATAAGAAGAGAAGCCTTAGGTCACATACATGGAAATGCTTCATAAGAAGATGCAATAGCATCATTTGTCTCTCTCATTCCCATACATGCAACATCAGCTACAATTTCACCTGTTGCGGGATTGTTAACCTGCCAAGAAGAATGTATGATTTTCAGCAGAAAGTATTACAAATAACATCCCAAAAAGGCTAAGAAGCAGAGATGTATGACCTTGATTGTCTTCTTGTCATACGAATCAATCCACTTTCCTCCTATAAGCCCTTGTGTTCGTAATAGACCTGAATTCCTAAGCTTTTCTGAAACACTTTGTGCGTCCATGCTCATCTGATCATCAATTCAACTAAAGAATAAGATAACAGTATTCACAAGTGACAAAAACCCCTCATATTCTCGTCTTTTTGATAAAACAATACCCAAATCACCATTTCTGGTAAAACAACACTTAATCTACAAATTCCCAGTCATGTCCGTAAAAGAACAATAAAATAATAAAACCCATCACCAAAAACTACGAAAACACGCTCAGAGTCAGAGAAGATCATCAACGGCCACTACTGATTCGAAACAACGAGAGAGCTCTCGAGATCGTAGAAAGATGAATCCAGATGTATATAGCCACTGTTCTGATTTTGGAGCTTCTATAATAACCAATCGGAAGAAATCACTCGATCTTTCTCAGTGAAAAAGACTCTATGTATACGAATCTACGAGTAATAATCTCTATAAAAAATGAAATGATTGAGAAAATTTACTTGTCGACACTGAGAAGAGACGATGAAGGAAGCACGTGACGAGACAAGTTTCCGGCAACCGCCGATTGCTACACGCGCCGCTGCTCCGATTACCATCTCCGATTTCGAAACTCCCAAAAACTTTCGATTGATTCCAATCGAAGAAGACGACGAAGAAGAGAGATCAGAAACTGTGAAGCTAAAAGCAACGAAATTCAAGTGAAGATATGAGTATAATAATATCTTCTTCGCTATCACAGAAGAAGAGTTGTTGAAACCAAAATAATTAAAAATTGGAAGGCCAAAAATGCAAAATAGTATCTTTTAATCCACGTGGCTTTTACACAGTATTTGCCGCGTTTGTTCGTGGACTTAGTTTATTTTCCACGTGGTACTTAAAATCGATTTTTATTTTATTTTAATAAAAAATCTTTCTTTCCCTCCCAAGTTAACAACATATGTCCCTTCCTCAGAGCTTTCCTTTAACCCTCTCTCTCTTTCCACTTAAAGATCAATCTTCTTCGCGAAGAGATTTCGTAACCCTAAACCTAACATTCTTCGCCGCGATCGGGTCGGGTCGGATCTGATTTCTCCGGCGTTTTTTTCAGAATCGCCAGACAAATTTTGGTGTAGAGGAGATTTTACTCTGATTTCGTTCGGGTAATGAGTTCCACCGCCGCATCTTTGACCGTCGGAGGAGGCGGATCGTCTGAGTCTTCCGGTGTAAAGAAAACCTCGAAGCGACCTAAATGTGATCTGTCTATTGTTTTATTTTGTGTAGCTAAGGATCGTGCTTAGAATTTCTCTTCTCTTGTTCCTCTTGGAGTAAAGATTGAATTTTTACGAGGAACCCAGAATTTTTCTGCCATTAACTGATGCATTTCTTGTGTTTTCTCCTAAGAACGATTATGAGCGTAGAGATAGAAAGTCAAAAGGCCGATTCTTTGTTTATGGTGTTGCTATATATCGATCACCATCTTTATGCATGTTTCTTGTAATGGGAAAATCTAGCTTTACATATATAGAATATACACGCTATGAGTTCTTGTATATTCTATGTTTGATGCAGATTCTTGTGTAGACTAGATACATTCATCAACTTGGTGTCTTGAGTTATCCGTCCTCGACAAAAATTTCATGTTATTTGAGAAGATGTAGTAGTTGTTGGATTATTGTGGTTGTTGGGTTTTTGGTACGAAGTATGTTGATATCTTTTGTTCGAAAGACTTACCATTGTACTCCCGTATAACAAATTGTGCAGTGGCTTTGGTTTCTCTGTCCTTAAGAAATGTTGTTTCAAATTTTATTTGATCAGATTCAAAATTTACTCAGCAGGAGCTTCCAGCATGCAAGCCAATTCTTACTCCAACATGGGTAAGTTCCATCACGATTATGTCACATACAAAACTACGATGTTATTACTGTTTGAAAACAATGATGCTTACTCTTTCTCTGTTTTATTGCTATTTGCAGGTGATCTTGACATTTCTTGTCGTTGGCGTTGTCTTCATTCCCCTTGGAGTGATCTGCCTACATGCTTCTAAGCGAGTATGTGCATTAGGCGAATGTCGTCTGTCTTTCTCTCACGTTTGTTTTCTATCTTCGACTTTGTGGTTTATTGAGGATATGTTTCATTAATTCATACATGAAGGTCGTCGAGATTGTTGATCGATATGACATAGACTGCGTTCCAGCATCTTCTAGGAACGACAAGGTCGCTTACATAAAAGGAGTAGAAGATAAGATATGCAACAGAACAATATTGGTAGATATCTTCTTATATGGAAATTTATTTCCTTCTATGGTTGTATATGTTAGCTGTTCCCTTAGGTATGGTTCCTGTACAAACTTGTCTCTGTTTTTTCAGATCAAGAGAAATATGACGCATCCTGTCTATGTATACTACCAACTTGGGAATTTCTACCAAAACCATAGACGGTATTTTTCCTTAGTTACTCAGTAATAGTACTCGCTTGTTTGCTACTTCCCTGGAATCTAATAAGATCCCTGTACTTTATCTGGGATGTGAAAATGTTTTCCACAGTTCACTGCCATTATAATAGTATGTGAGTGGTTGATTACATGTGTAGGTATGTGAAAAGTCGAAACGATGCACAACTAAGAAGTCCGAGCGATGAGCGTGATGTGAAGACTTGTGCACCTGAGGATAATGTGGGTGGAGAACCAATTGTTCCATGTGGTCTTGTTGCTTGGAGTTTGTTCAACGATACTTATCGTTTTTCAAGAAATAGCCAGCAACTTCCTGTGAATAAGAAAGGCATCTCATGGAAGAGTGACAGAGAAAAAAAGTTTGGACAAAATGTCTTCCCGAAAAATTTCCAGACAGGAGATATAGGTGGTGGAACTCTTGACCCCAAGAAACCGGTAAAAAAAATCCTTCGGTATCAATTTGGATTCCTTTTCTGAAATTGAATGTTAACAAATTGTAAGAGTTCTTTTATTGGATAGTTGAGTGAGCAAGAAGACCTCATAGTCTGGATGCGTACCGCGGCTTTGCCAACATTTAGGAAGCTGTATGGGAAGATTGAAACGGACCTGCACGAGGGTGAAACCATAACGGTCTTGTTACAGAACAACTACAACACTTACAGCTTTAACGGGGAGAAGAAGCTAGTGCTATCAACAACTAGCTTGCTCGGTGGAAAGAACGATTTCCTCGGGATTGCGTATCTGACTGTAGGCAGCATTTGCTTGTTCTTGGCTGTTACATTCTCCGTATTGTATCTAGTTAAACCAAGGTAGGTTCTTATATGAACATCTTCAACTTTTCCTTGTCCTTGTCTTCTACATTTTGTTAGGACATTAAAGCTGAACTACATTGAAATGATATTGTTGTCTTGTCTTATGGGTTTTTCAGGCAACTCGGAGATCCTTCTTACCTTTCGTGGAACAGAAGTGCTGGAGGTTAGGGCTGGGCATGAGACGGGTACCCTGAGAATTTGGGGTACCCGATACCCGATCCGACCCTAACGGGTATTTGAAAAACAATACCCTTACCCGACCCGCAAAAAACGGGTACCCTATTAAACGGGTACCCGGCAAAAATCCGTTGACCCGCCGGGTACCCGACTTGTTACCCTTACCCGCTTTGTTACAATAAAATTTATCTATAGTTGTGATTAGGAAATTTTTATACCAAAAGAATGAAGAAGTCATTACAAAAAGAGGAAGAATTCCTCTTAATAGGCAACATATAGTTCAAAAGATATAAAA